GAACTGGTCGATGTAATACATCCATCGACCGATCGTGCTAGTGACCGTGTCCTGCGTTTTGTAAAAGGTCAACGGATTGTTGTCCGTATTCCATTTAAAATGCCGATGGTCGAGAAGAAAGTGGCGCCACCGTTTGAGAACGGTGACGAACGCGAGTAGCTCTTTCTTCGTAGCGTCGTCGAGAGTGTTGACGAGAGGCACCTTTTGGGAGAAATACTCAACCGGATGTCAACTGTCCTCGTGACACTGTTCCAACACCGCATCAATACCGTATCCCGAAGCGTCCGTAGTCACTTGGGTGGGTAGGGTGGGRTCGTATATACGGAGGGCAGGTGCGGCTTGCATTGCTGCCTTCAACGTAGTGAACGCGCCACGGGCTGCGTCGTCGAACTCGAAGGGCACCTTCGGGGACTGAAGTCTCGACAAAGGAGCGGCCACTTTCGAGTATGACTCGACGAATCGCTGATAGTATCCAGCCAAACCCATGAAAGAGCGTACATCCGTCGTACAACGAGGTTCCGGCCAATCCACGATGGCTTGGATCTTGTCCGCTAAGGGACGAATGCCTTTCGGCGTAACATAGTGGCCCAAATACTCAAGCTCTTGCTTGGCGAACTCTCACTTGTCGCGGTTTGCTTTGTACTTAGCCAGTCGCAAACGATTCAAAACAGCACGAAGGTGTGTGATGTGCTCGTCCAACGTCCTGCTATAGACCAAGATGTCATCGAGGTAGATGAGGACGCCGCGATCGAGCAAGTCGCGAAACTCAGTCGTCATAGTTGCTTGAAAAGTTGCGGGGGCATTGGTGAGGCCAAAGGGCATGACAACCCACTCAAAATGCCTGTACCGCGTCTTGAACGCAGTCTTGTACCGATCTTGAGGCTGGATTTCAATCTGGTGGTAACTTGACTTCACGTCCAACTTCGAGAAGTACGTCGCGCCGCCTAACCGCTCAAGGAGATCATCAATCCGAGGGAGAGAGCCGACATTCTTTACGGTTTGTGCGTTAAGTTTGAGATAGTTGATGCATAACCGTAGATCTTTGTTCTTCTTCCGGACGAAGAGAAGAGGTGCACCGTATGGCGAGCAACTAGGGCGAATCGAGCCCTTGTCGAAAAGGTCATCGAGTTGTGTGTGAAGCACCGCGAGTTCCTCTTCGCTCATGCGGTAGATACATCCACGCGGAGGGATGGCACCAGCCTCGTGAGTGATCTCGTGACGTATGGGCCGATCCGGAACCGTTCCGGTGGGAGCCTCGAAAACTTCTCTATACTCGTCCAAGAGGTGAGAAATGCGTGGGTCCGGCGGTGGCGCGGCTGGTCCGTCCGGCGAGGGGAGGGCATGCAAGAATACAAGGCCCATCTCCTCGACGTCATTCCGAGCTATGGCGTCGCGAATTCTCGCAACGGAAACCATGTGACAAGCAATCGAAGTGTGAGGGGTCGCAACCGTACATGGGACTAACACTCCGTTCCGATCACGGATGTGAACGGTTCGATCATGAAAGTTCACCGGATGATCGGCGCTACACAACCAAGATATGCCTAGAATCATGTCGAACTTGGTGTCGAGGATGTCAAAAGACACCGGCTCGCACGCAAGTGGCGCAAAGTATACCGGAACGCCGCCGACGCATCGGTCAATTGACTTTTGCGTGCGGCCGTCCGCGAGTGTAACTTGCGTAGGTTGCATCTTCCTTCGAACGCGCGGGCCAAGACCTGCGCGGGCCATAAAGGCTTGACTCATAAAGTTGCGAGACGCACCGCAATCAATCAAGGCACTACAGGTTRCCTTTCCGATTTGAATGCGGATATAGAGCAAAGGAGCGTCGGTTTCGGCGTACCTTTGGGTGGCGTACTCGCGGTCAATCTTCGCAAGATAGAAGCGGAGATCGACAACCGCTACTCCGTCGTCTGTCAACGGAGCTGGTACTGTAGTGTGCAAATAGGAGCGTAGATTTGCCATCAAGGCGTTGCAATGCGGCCTTGGCAAGGTTCTGGTCGAGGGTAGAGGCATCCAAGCGAAGTCCTCTCTCGTGAGTGGGTCAAGCTCCTCAAGTCTTGACCACGCCGTCGAGTCCTCGGAAATCAGTGGCGAACTAACTGGATTACTTGTCGACGGTGTACAGGCTGCGCATACGCAATCTAAGTGCACGTGGCTCGGCTTGTCTAGTGGTGGTACTAGTTGGGCGACATAATCCTCGTACGTAGCACGAGAATCAGCGACTAATGCATGCTCCCCGGTAGTGACATCGATTGCTAGCAAGGCAACCGGTTCCGGCGGAGTGAGGAGAGATGTCGCCCCTCTCCTTGCGTAACTCAGTTTTCCGAGTTTGCTGGACGGGATACGCGTGTCTTGCCCTTTTCGGGGCATTGTGCGGTCAAATGCATGACGTCGTTGCACCAAAGGCAGTATCCGTACTTTTGACGGAGGTCATAGACATCCTTGGTTATCTTGTAAGCCGTCCATGGTTGCGACCCAGTTCTCGTCGATGTCGTCTCTTGTGTCGCCTTGTTCTTCCGAACTCTCTTGGGACGCTTCGGCGGGAGCGCTGCTACAATTCCTCCATCACTCAAGGATGTTGCTGCAGCGTGAAGATCGACTGTTTCTTCATAAATCACGGCATTGTTATGTGTCGGTCGTTGATAGCCCTGCTTAGCCACATAATGCGGCCGGGACTGCCGTTCGTTTGCGGCCTTGTCATCCGTTTGGATGACCAAGTTGGCACGATCCAGAATGGTCTAGAATGATTCGTAATCGTACTCGTTGCCGAGTGCCGATCGCAGTCTTGCGCACGATCGCGAGAAGAACTCGGATCGTTGATTGGTAAAACTCAAATCGAAGCCTGGTGTGGTCACTATCTTCTGCCACTTAGTTGTCCAGTCTCGAGTTGGCATACTACCTTGAGAGCAGGTGTACACCTTGTTCATGGCTGCCTTCACGACGTTGCGAACCATGAACAGGGTGAGCCATAGCTTCTCGAACTCCTTTTACGGAATGTGTGTGTGGAGTTCGGYGATGGTGCATTTCTTGGTAGCCGCCAGATRATTCATCCATGYCTGCGCTCCTCCGWTCAGTTGTAAGTAGAGCGCCTTCATCATGTCATCCGCCGGGACAGTGCGGCATGATGCTTCCGTGAGGAAACGTTGCCACCATGTCAAGGCGTCCGACTTGTTGTAGTCGTCGAACTTGCTGATGTCCAAGTGCGGCATCTTGTAAGTCTTCGTAGCGGCGTCCGGTCTCGTCTGCAGCTTGGTGATGTCCGTCTTGATGGCGGCCACCGTGCTGCTGATTGTGGCYGGGCTAGTSAAATYGCCTAYATCGYCGATGATATTGACGACGTGATCGATGCGCTCGTTGAGCTGCTTCGTCGCGTCCGTCGTGCAGCCTGGCGCTGCTGAGGCATTAGCCTCAATGTTGTTGATGCGTGCGAGAGCTGAGTTCAACAGCTGATGTTGTTGCTGCTGCTGTGAAGCTTTGGCGCGGATGGCAACCGTTAAAACAACAATGTCTTGCTGGTACTTCTGTCTTTGTTGTTGTTCCGTGCACAGATGTGCCTGCAGCAGTGTGTTATTCCACAYGATTCCTCTCATCATGCCCAGCATCAAGTTAGCCAGGTGAGTTCTCTCTGCCTCCGCCGGTGTCGGATCCGCCTGCGCGTCCGAAGGCACAAAGACCATGCCTTGGAGGAAGGTTGTCCACTGATTCTCACTATGAATCAGGGACTCCGTGCTGGCGGCATTCCGTTGATCTCGTGCTGCCGCGTCAGCCTCAGCGGTGTGCCGAGCTTGGGCTGCCACCTCATTGGCCAGCCGCTGACGTTCTACCTCTGCTGCCTCCTCTTGTGCCTTTGCGGTAGCTACGGCATCTGTGAATGCCTGTACCCGCTGAAGGTAAGCTGCCAACGGCTCACCGGCCCCTTGGACCGGGCATGCGGGAAGAACTCCGGTGGTAACCGGTACCGTCAATGCTGTACTCGATACCGCTGGAGTCGTCCGCCTGCTGAGTCTCTGTTGCTGAGCCTTGGTTCGTGGAGGTACTGTAGGTCGAGCACGAACTGCGAGCCTGGCACTGCGTCGTGGCAGTGCCCCGGTGTCTTGTTCCATCAACATCAGTGTGAACTAGTGCGGTACTTGAGAGGTCCCGGTGGTCACAGAATACGTGGAGGGTAGGGAGAGTGGGAACAGGGGTAGAACAATCAAACAATACGCATACAGTCCCCTGTCCCACTAATGGACTGTAGACACCTAATCAAAATAGAAAAAAATAATTTTCCTGTAACCAATTCCAAAAATTCGTGATAAGAAGAATTAATAACGAATTATTTAATCAATAAAATTAATTAATGATTAATAACGCAATAAAATCCCTTAATGATAATCAATAAACAATGTTTGCACTAAAGATTTCTTGATGATAATCAATAAACAATATTTGTAATAATGATAATGAACGAATTTGAATTGTACTAAGATTAGGTCTCTTTGAGATCAATTATGGTCCGGGAGTTCACCGTTAATTAGTGAATTACCCGGAAGTCGCAAATTTGAGGGTCAGATTCGGAATTATTTGCCAACAAAAATTTCGAAAAAATCCCGAAAAACAACACCCGAATTTCCAAAAAAGTGAAATTTCAGGAATTCCACCGTCAAAATCCGATTTTTAAAGGCCTAAATCCGTTTTCGGAATTTCTCCAACAAGGGGAAAGAAAAAAAAATTCGCGAAAATTTCGGCCCCAACCCTAATTTTCCGCGTTTCCGCGGAATTTCCGGTATTACGGTTCCAAAACGTTCAAAATTCCCAAGTTGATCGAACAACCAAAATTTCGTAACCCTAATTTCCAATACTGAAGGAAAAATGGAAATACCAAAAAGAAAAACGAAATGTAGGATTTACAACAGAATGCCGAAGTTAAAAACGGACTGCTGAATGGAAATCAGAATGCCGAATTTCAAYAGGATACTGATTCAACCCTAATAACGTTTTCMAATCAGAAATCCGAACCTAACAAATTATCGGATTAGTATCAATTAATCGGAACCTAAATAAACAGCATACCGGAATAAAACAGAAATCCGAATTATAAGTCCGAATACCGAATTGAAACGGAAATGCTGAACTAAATAGAATACCGAAAAAGAAAAATTTTTGCAACTTTGAACTTGATAGTAATACAGCGCTGATTTGGAAGATTGAAGAAGCAATCTAATTCCTAAATCAGACTTACCTGGTGAGCAGATCCGTAAACTGGTCTGCTGCGATACCAAAACTGTTACATACTTCAATGAGTATGGGCAGAACCAAAGATCAACCAATGTAGGATGAGCATATATGCAGCGGAAGTCTCATAAACGAACTGATTGGCAGAGACTGACTCACATAGATATCACTCCACACACATACAATCGTGAGATGGTGGGGTATGGGCCAAGCATAGACGATGCCCAGACCTCGTACACACATACACAGATGAGAGGTGGGAGGAGAGACGAAGGAGGTGGGAGATGTAGGTAGCACCAAATGTCACCGAGATAGAAACCAGTAGGTCACCGATATGGTAATCCAAAACGTACTTGAACAAGATCAAAATGTCGCGGACAATAAGTCACCAATGTCGGAGATACAGAGTCCTAATGTAACCGGTGTCCAATCTGTGATGCAGCCGAGTATCATCCCCAACAATCTCCAAGTCTCGAATCCGGTAAGTACCACAGCCTCTTACCACCAAAGTCCAACTCTGATCTCTGTCCAACTAGTATAAGTCTCCAATCTGAAGAAGAAGAAGAAGAAGAAGAAGAAGAAGAAGAAGAAGAAGAAGATGAAGTCTGAAGAGAAGAAGAAGAAGAAGAAGAAGAAGAAGAAGAAGGGAGCCGAGGAGGAGAGAGAGAGAGAGGAGACTGGCGATGGGAGGGAGGAGAGAAGCCTTCGACTCCCGATACCTCAGGCGGCTATGGCCGCCGATAACGCCCAGTCGCCGCTGCTGCTGCTCCGCTCGCTGCTGCTGCGCTGCTCCTCGCTGCTCCTGCGCTAAACTTAGCGCCAGCGCTGATTCGCGCTGTACCATACCGCACCGTAGCGTGCCGGTGGGTTGATGGCCTCGAAGTGAGGCCGGACCAGTACTAAGTACTGGTTCGAAGAGGACCGGCCTCAATGCTGTGAGGCCTTGGTTGGGGCTGAACCGTCCAGATCGACGATTCAGGTCCAACCGGAGAGCGGCAGCCTCAAACGGCGCCGCCAGGCCCAACACGAAATGTCGTTTGGGCCTGGTCCATAATCTGGTCCAAGTCGTGGCCTTTCGGCCTGTTATCCCCCAAGGTCGGGCCTTTAGGCCCTGATGTGTCCCTCTAGCCCTAAGTCGGGTCCGGTAGGACCCGTGTGGCGTCGAAGATGTAACATTCTCTCTCTCGCCCACTTCGGCTCCGGGCTCACTGCAGACCTCCTTGCACAAGTCGCTGTGGCAGCGCTTCCGCATGGCTCACGCAGGAATGAATGAATGGCTGGGCGCTGCTTCTTGATTTATACTTCTGAAGCTCATTGGTCTGCCCTTTTCCATCGGCCCTTGGTGCTCACAGTCCCTCGTGGTACTTGCTGGACCGAACAAGGACTGACTGGACCTTACCGCTGACTGAATGGGGACTCACTGTTATCCTACTGCTACCGTACTGCAGACGTACTGCAGCTGGTCCACCACTTGGCTCACCACTTGCCCACTTGCCCACTTGCAGACCTTCTAGAAGGCTACAGCTAAGACTTCTAGACTTCACTAAGACTTCGATTCGACAGACCTACAGATCGAACCCCTACAACCTACGACAACCTATCAACTCTTACAAATACACAGGTCGTGGGTTCAACTCTACGGGTCGACACAGGTGTTGTACATAGGTAAGGTGGGGGACTAGGGATTGAGCCCTGGGATCTGTGTCTGCTACTGCAAAAAGGTGAAAACCGTTTCACTCCCGCCGTCCTAAATTCGAGGTGCTCCAATAATAATTTAGTCCAAGGCAGGACCTTTACCCTTCTTATCACGCTCGTAAGCTCTGACTATGTCGGGAGCTGTTTCTAGAAGTTCTGTCCTAGTAAACCAGCGGTCGTCTTCCGATTCCTGATACTATACTGTTTCTGTGGACGACCTCTACCTCCTGTCCTGAAGACATCTTCATCTACAATACCGTCAATGTCATATGCGCCATCCGTATCCGCAGGGATCATGGATCTCCTTGAAGGGAACTGCTGACTTGTGACACACGGCAACAGCTTTGAAGCATGGAACACTGGATAGGTATGGAGGTGTGTTGGAATCTCTATAGTGTAGGACGGTCCATCCTCTCCGCCCTTGACTTCTAGAACTGGCCACGGTCCTCTATATGCAGGCAGTAACTTCGGTGAGATGTTCTCCTCAGGTGCGAACTCTTTAGACTTGACCCAGACCAGGTCGCTTACCTGAAACTGCGATGGGCGACGGTGCTTGTTAGCCTGTTCTATCATGCGGTGATGGGCCTTCCTGAGGTTTTCAACAACAGTTTCTAACCCTCTCTTGTGCTGTATCACGAACTCCCTGGTACCGGGTAGTAGTTTGTGAATCTGATCTCGGGTAAGTCCTTCAAACGGTCTGCGGGGTCTAAAGGACTTGTGTAACTCATTGGGAGTGCGACAGGTAGATAAATGCACGTTGCTATTGTATGCGCTGGCTAGCTTGGGCAACATCTTGTCCCAATTGACTTGATCCGGTCTAATATACATGCGCAGAACTTGCAGCAGGAGCTTGTTCATCTGTTCTGTCTGACCGTTAGTCTCTGGATGACGGCCAGATGACATCAACAACTTTGACCCATAGACTCTCATTAGTTCCTGCCAGTTCTGGCTCGTGAATTTGGTGTCTCTATCACTAACTATAGACAATGGGACTCCGTGGTCACTAACCCAATGATCAAAAAACTTTTGAATGACTAACTCTGTACGGGCCTCTGCAGGCAAAGGAACAAAAACTGCATATTTACTGAATCTATCAACTACGACCATGACTTAGCTCTTGTCGTGCCTACTCTTGACACCGGCATCCATAAAGTCAATGGAGACTGAATCTCCCGGTTGGTCTGGGATAGGCAAGGGTCTGAGAAGACCTAGAGGGGCACGCGAACACCTCTGACAAACTTTGCAACTGCGAACATACTCTATGCAGTCAGCTTTCATTCCTGGCCAGGTGTACGCACGCATCAGATTGGCTAAAGTCTTCTGCCAACCGAAGTGTCCCTCTGTGTCATGGCATTCCCCTAGGATCAGACTACGGATCTCTTCACTGTTGGGAATGCATAGGCGGTCTACTACATTAGTCTTCTCAAACAATAGTCCCTCGGTAGTACGGTAGTATGGTTCGGTCTCAGGGGCCTCCATAACTCTCTTGAGGAGGTCACTATAGATAGGGTCCTGCGCATACGCCTGTCAGACTTTCTCTTGTAGGTCCTTTCCTATGTCCAGATAGTGCACTATAGCTCCAAAGTAGTCTGATCTCCTACTTAGAGCATCCGCAACTACGTTGTACTTGCCTTTGACCGGTTTGAGCTCGAAGTCATACTGGTCTATCTCAGCGGCCCACCTAGTCAACTTAGGTGTCATTTTGGCGTGGGTCTTTAACCATATAAGCGTCTCATGGTCAGAATATACTTTGAAGTGCCTCCCAAGCAGATAATGCTTCCAGTGCTCTAAAGCCTGCCTGAGAGCATAGAGTTCCCTCTTGTACGTCGAGGTAGCAACCTTTTCTGAGGGCATCCTCGCCGACATGAACTCTACGGGTCTGTAGCCATTGCCGTCGTCTTGCTGCAACATGGCGCCTATACCATATTGACTCGCGTCCGTGGTGACGACAAATGGCAAAGACGGATCAGCTACTTTAAGGACAGGATACTCTATGAACGCGCTCTTCAATCTCTTTAGCGCAGACGTACAATCTTTGTCCCATTGCCAGATTGCCTCTTTCTTAAGCAACATGCGCAAGGTAGTGGCGATAGTAGAGAAGTTCCTCACGAACTTTCTATAGTAGTTAGCTAGGCCTAAGAACGACCGCAACTCTGTCAATGTGCGGGGCGTCGGCCAGTCTCTAACTGCCGCTATCTTGTTGTCCTCTCGCTTAATGCCATCTCCGTCCAACACGTGGCCCAAGTACAAGACTTGTGTCTTGGCCCACTCGCACTTCTTCGCGTTAATCTTGAAGTTAGCTTCTCTCAGCTTCTCCAAGACTTGACTCAAATGAACCTGATGCTCCTGGAGGGTCTTGCTGAAGACTAATATATCATGTTATGACCCTGGCCAATTTCGAGATACACATCCATTAGAAGGTACAATGCCATCCAATTGCAGAAAGAAATGAATGAACTTGAGATGAGAGAGAGGATTAGAAGAAGAAGAAGAAGTAAGAAAGAAGAAGAAGAAGATGTACAACAGCAAAGACAATGACAAGGCTCTTCTTCTTCGCCCAACAATCTCCTCCTCCTTATCTCCCCCTTCTCTTATTCATACAAGAAATAATAATACAATGTTGAATGACTGGTCCAGAGTCAACGTCCAAGTCCCTCTTCTACTGCAGGTATCACCCAAGGTCCACCATAGCCATGGCCGCCTCTCCCACTCTTCACTCTCATAGGCCGAGGCTGTGGCGGACTACTAGGCCTTGCCCAGATGTCCAAAGGATAACCCAAAGCAGCTATGGCTGCTCCAGCTCAGGCCGCCATGCCCAGCCCTGCCTTGAAGCTTCTTGGTGTGGCTCTCCCCGACTGGGGACTCCTTGCTGCAGCGCCCACCAAGGTGATGAAGATGGCTGCCACCATAGCCAGGTAAGTACCCTTGGCGCTCCTCCCCCTTCCTTCCTCCTTCCTCCTTCTTCCTCCCTCAAGACCTCCTTCCTCCCCAGAAGCGCTGCTCCAGCTTAGTGCTGCTCCAGCCAGCGCTCCACCAGTGTGTCGCCAAACTTGCACACCGAAAAAGAGGCCGGGTCTTTCGCCCGGCCTGAAGATATAGCGGTCTGCTTTGCCTCTTGGGCGGTGACTTCCAAGCCGCTGGCCTTCCCAAGCAACCGGTACCTCCTCCTTTTTGGAGGGAAACATCATTGCAGACTCTGATATTGCCCCTATAGGCCCTAGACTCAGACTGGTACCTGCTAGACCTAGCCTACACTACCAGCCTCTAAAAATGCCACTTATGTCTTCTTCTGCTCGGCCTCCGGTACCTACATATTTACCCCCCTGTCGGGTGAGGTACCGGCCTACCCGCTACTTGACTGCTTTTTCCCCGCTGCAACCCTTTGAAGCCACGGCCACAGGTAAGTACCGGCCCTGAGGGCCCAACGAACGAACAAGTGCCCTGGCGGGCCACACACACACACTTATACCAACCAGCACTCAGACAGGCACAGTCATACACACGCAAGCCAACCAGCGCTCAGGCAGACATGCAGTCCAGCAAGCACACACACACACAGACTTAGTAGGCGGGGAACTCAGTAGGGCATTCAGTCTATGAGCAAAACTCAGAAATCAGTTGTGTGTTTCAGTCCGTGTTTGGACGGGTTATCACATTACCCCCCCCTCAAGAGCGAGGTCCCTTCGAGTGAGTAACTCATTCTGACTCCTCGGCAAACGCATCGTAAGCAAGCAAGGCAAAGAGATTCCTGGAATACTCTGTTGCGGTGAGCCTTGCTGAGATCTTTGGTGCGGCGTTAGCAGCGATTTGTCGCTCGTAGGCTTTGACAACGCACGGTGTACTGCGTAGCAGTTCCTGTTTGGAGATTCAGTACAGATCGTCTAACGGGTGATACATAAAATGAACCTGGTACTGTCTGTTTCTTCCCTTACCGACATGTTGTTTGATTCTATCTATCTCGTACCCGCCCTTGATGGCGCGAGGGATCATGTCTTCGCGGTAATCGAATGTCTCGGCGTCACGGTGGAGATACAATTTAGATGAATGGAACACGGGATATGTGTGAAGGTGAGCTGGCACGTCTACAACGTACGAAGAGCCAAGGTGATCTTCCCCAATTACATCCAAAACTTCCCAAGGCATGTAGTAGAGTGGGAGGAGTTTGCGTGAGACTCCCTCCTCTTCTGAGAATTCATACATCTTCACCCAGACGTACATTCCTACCTGAATCTCCGATGGTCGTCGCTTCTTGTTTGCATGGTGGAGCATGGCATGTTGTCGCTTGGTCATAGCTGCAACAACAACTTTGAGCAAGCGATCATACTTAGCCCTGAAACCGGGCCTACCAGGTGTTAAGCCAGCTGGCTGCTCAGGGAATAAGTAGGAGAGCGGATTACGGATCTGCCAACCGTAGTGCAACCTGTTGGGTGTCATGGCGGTGGCGGAATGGACGGAGTTGTTGTATAACCCCTTAACAGAATACAACTCCTCATCCCATGTCTCCTGGTCCGAAATAATCAACGCGCAGAGAAGTTGAAATACAGTCTGGTTGATCTCCTCAGCCAAACCGTTGGCTTCGGGGTGTCGGCCAGATGTCATGCACAGTTTGATTCCTAGGTGAGACGTGAAATCCTTTCATTCAGTGCTAATGAAACGCGGATCCCGATCGCTCACAAGAGTCTTCGGGGTTCCGAATTGCAGCAGGTATTTCTGTTGGAATTCGCGAATCACTAGATCTGTTGGGGCGTGGGGAGGCAAAGGGATCAGATTAAGAAATTTTGAAAATCGGTCAACAATCACCATGACTTGTGAATTACCGTTTTTGCTTACCTTACCCATGTCAGTGAAATCGATGGAGACAGACTCCCCGGGACCATCAGGAATGGGTAGGGGTGTGAGTAGCCCCATGGGCTTTTGTCTGCATGGTTTGATCCATTGACAGACTTGACATTCAGCCACAAATTTCTCAGCAGTCCCTTTCATGCCAGACCAATCAAACTGTCTCAGCAAATTAGCGTACGTCTTTGCCATGCCGAAGTGCCCGCTCCGACCATGAGCCAAGTTCAGAAAGTGTGTGCGGAGAGGCTCATGGTTGGGCACACACAAACGGTCATGGTTCCCGTAGCGACGAAAAATCAGTCCTCCATACTCGTGGAAATCAGGTTGACTACTAGGATCAGCCCGCAACTGCTCAAGGATGAAACTAAGTTCTCGATCCTTGGTTGTCTGCTCTACGAGCTCCTCTTTCAGTTTCTTCCGGAGGTCGTAGGATTTCACAAGGCAAGTCATGTACTTAGGGTGGCGAGACAATGCGTCAGTGACTCGATTGTAACATCCCTTTTTGTGTCTTAATTCAAAATCGAAGATGTCAATCTCATAAAACCAGCGAAGCAAGGTAGGGGACAGGGTAGTTTGTTGTTTGATCCACTTCAAGGTCTGATGATCTGAAAAGACTTTGAAGTGGCGTCCCAAAAGATAATGTTTCCAGTGATCCAACGCCATACGCAAGGCATAGAGCTTGCGCATGTAGGTGGAAGTGGCTACCTTTACGCTGGGCATTCGTTTGCTGTAGTACTCTAGTGGCCTCAGGTCATCACCGTCATCTTGTTGCAGCACTGCACCAATTCCATACTAACTTGCATCCGTAGTAACTACGAATGTCAGTTTGGGATCTGCAATGCGGAGTACCGGGTAACTTACCAAGGCTTCCTTGAGAGCTGGAAAGGCTTCCGTACACTTGGCATCCCGGGAATAAGGCACATTTTTACTGGTTAGTCGCGGCAATGGACGAGCTATGATAGAGAAGCGGGGCACAAACTTCCGATAGTAGGACGCGAGATCAAGGAAAGAACGCAATTCGCGAATGTTCGCAGGCTGAGGCCAATCGCGTATGACCTCAATCTTGGTTGCCTCAGGCTCTAGGCCTGCAGCAGACAACCGATGCCCAAGATAGATGACGCTATCCTTCCCAAACTCAGATTTCTCCAAGTTGAGATGGAGTTGTGTCTTCTTGAGGATAGCGAACACCTCCTCAAGATGCTTGAGGTGTTCCTCCATGGACTTGCTGAAGATCAGAATATCATCCAGGTACGCTACCACAAACAGGCCAATTTGTTTGTGGAGGACCTTGTCCATGAGGCTTTGGAAAGTGGCGGGTGCGTTCGTAAGACCGAAAGGCATTACGGTGAACTCATAAAGCCCGTCGCGTGTTTTGAACGCAGTCTTGTGCTGGTCCGCAGGATCGACTTCAATCTGGTGGTAGCCAGACTTGAGATCGATCTTGGAGAAGACCTTGCACCCGCCTGCGGCATCAAGCAAGTCATCTATACGAGGCAATGGATAAGCATTCTTTCTTGTGATGCGGTTTAGACTGCGGTAATCAATACACATACGGAGTTTGCCTCCTTTCTTTGGCACAAACAACACAGGAGCACCAAATTCAGATTCACTAGGTTTGATCCACCCTTTGTCAATCATCTCATCGATCTGTCGCCGGAGTTCCTCCAACTCGCCAGGTCCCATACGATACACGCAGCCCTTTGGAGGAATAGCACCCTCGACCAACTCGATGGTGTGTCGAACCGGTCGCGTGAGGACTCCACGTGGCTCGGCCAGGACTTCTGGAAAACGATCGAGGAGGGTTTGGATGTCTAATGGGACAGGTGGGGGTGGGGAATGAGCAAAGGGATCACCAAGATCCGGTCGCAAGTCGCGTATAGAGATGACCGAATCTGAAGTAGGATCATTTGGACTATTAGAGGGTAGAGAGGTAGAGGTGCTAGTAGTAGAAGTACCAGAAGTAGGATCATCAATCAAAGTAGTAGTGGTATTAGCCGCAAAAGTAGAAGACACATGAGCAAGACGAACAAAGGCAACATACAATTGTTCGTCCTCTTTGTGCTTTGCAGAACTTCAATGCATCTAGAAAAGCCACTGGGGATTCGTGTTTCTCATCCAAGAGGACAAGAAGTTCGTTCCCCTGAGCATCTTTGACCATGAAGAGTGACTCATTCCACTTGGTCCATTCGCATTGGGACTGCAGCCAGCCCAAGCCAAGGACAGCATCGAAGGGGCACTTGTCAAGGACAAAGAATTTCAGTGCGTGGGTGACGGTCTTGCCTTTGTCAAAGGTAGTGCGCACACCTTTGACTGCATGTGTTGAAGAGACAACTTCTTTGTTGCCAACTTGGGTCCGGCAAGGGTTCTGCAGGGCCACTTGCTTCATCCCCAAGCCCACCTTGCGTATCCCATGTGGTGACATGAAGTTGGCTGTAGCACCACAGTCAACCAACACACGGAGATAGCGGTGGTTTATGAGAAGTTTAAACAAGATCAACTTCACTGTCCCTTGGGCACGCTGCTGTTTCATCTCAGCCCAATGCTCCAAGTGGTAGTGGAAGTCAACCATCTCAGACTCCTCCCAAGGCTCAACATACAAGACATTACTTACCTCAGCCTTGTCTTCAGCAGATGGTTGGGCTTCAAGGGAGGGCTGCTGATTTTCAACAGAACCGGACTCCCCTGCTGTAGAGTTTGCTGAATCTGACTCTACGCCCGATTCTGGTTTCCCTGCAGCCTATAACAGTCTTGAACCTTGTGATTTGGTTTTTGGCAATGCAGGCAAACCCCTTTCTTGAGTCTGCCCCGCCAGTCATTCTCAGTGATCCAGAGGTCAACCCAAGGTTTGGTAATTGCATCCTCCGGTTTAGGCGGGATCTTGACTCCTTTGGGAAGTTGGACATAACTTTTCCCGACACTCCGATTCGGTCCCTTAGTACTGGCAGTCTTTTTAAAGGCAGAAAATTTTTCTTCTTCTTTATTTGCATCGGACTCATGGGCTGAAGAACAAACTGTATCGGAGTCCTGTTCTTGGCCGCCACCAAGAGTGGGGTCACCTGCATCGGCTTCTTCTTCGGCCTCCAACAGGTCATGCACAACAAAACGGTTGTTGCCCTGGAACCGTCTGCCGCCCATGGGCTTTTTGCTGCCTGCCGTGCTAACGAGGTCTATAGCCTCCAAATTGACTATGTCCTTCATTAAGGTGAGTCAGTCAGTGTATGCAATGTAGTCCCTTCCCAGGCGATTAGTGAAATTAGTCGGAACCGCGCCCTTAACCACATCTAAGCAAGATTGAGCAGACAATTCCAAACCAGGAGTAGCAAACATCTTGCTTAGATAGGTCCGCAGGCTTTTCATGGAGCCTATCCACTTGCTGCGCTTGACTTTGTCAAGTTGGATTCTTACTCTAGCAGCATCATCTGGATCCTGATATTGTGTGATAAGGAGATCCTCGAGGGAGGCAACCGGGGTGGTCCTAAGCCATTTGGCTAGTGCGGTCTTTTGGAACCCAGCCTGCGTCGCTTGGACTTCCAGGAAGCCCCGTACGACCGGCTCGACATTCATTCCCATGATCACCGCTTGGGTCTCAGTTTGAGTCCCCAGAATCTCAAAGTAGGCCCTCATGGAGCCGATCCAGGACTCGATGTCTTCCTTGCCGTCGTACTTAAACGGTATCTGTACCGTTTTTCGGTACACATAGGGACCAGCGTGGTTGGGACCAGCAGCAGCTGGTTCCGGTCTTGGGGCTGCAGCAGTTGCAGAAGTTCCAGCCTCACTGCTTGTTACAGCAACAGCGGAATCTGCACCTGCTGCAGGTCCCGAGGGGGTTGCCATCACACTCGAAGAAGAGGTATAAGAAGATACAGTAAGAGGGGCAGAAGTAGTTTCGATCGCAGCTTTTGATCCAGGGGGTAGAGGAAGAGGGTTGGCCACTTGGGCTTGTCGCAGGTCAGCCACCTCCTTTGTCAATTCATGGTACTTGCGGGTCATATCAGTTAGATCCTCTTGAAGTGTCTGCAGTTTTGCAAAGACTTCAGCGATCTGAGTGGTGTGGTCCTCAAGATTCCTGACTTGAACAAAGGCTGTGAGTATGGACTGCAACTGTTCCCCACACTGCTCTTCAGTCAGTGAGGGAACAGTCTCTAGGAGGGCCACTTGCCTTTTCAACAAGGTCTCCTTCCTCTCCTTCTCTGTCTCCTGTTCCCTTTTGATTGCACTGTCTAAGAGTGCTTGCAGATAAGGTTTCTCAATATCACTGGCTGCATCTAACAAGGCCCGCCACTGAACTGAAGTTAGCTGAGCCATTATTGGATTGTCAGTATGGACAGGTGGGTCAGAGAGTCGCCAATCAGCAAAAGAATCAATTAGACTCTCAAGAGGTTCACTCCCCCTCCCGCTTGGACGAAACTCCTTTTCCCAGTCCTAGCCCACCTCAAACGATCACTTTCCCTCTCTCCCTGTTCTCTCTCCCTCCTCTCTCTCTCCTCTTTCAAGTTGCGAGTCTCCACGGGCATCAGAAATGAACTCAGAAAAACAGACTGAAAAACTCAGAGAAGAGAAGGTAGAACTCCTAGCCGGAGCGGCATTTCATTTGGAAGTAGAGAGCAGCAGAATCAAAAAAACACAAACAAACTTCAATGAGAGGTCTGATCCAGCGACCCTTTCTGATCAGACTGCATACGAGGTCCTCTCGAGTCCAGTCTGACCAGCTCCGTGTCTGTACAACAAATCAGACAACGAGTAACTAAATGCAACAATGGAGAATTGAGTAGTGTACAGGGTGCGAGTCAAGCCACGGACTGTGCAATCAGAATACATGCGAAACATCTCAGCCAAGATCCCCTCGACAGTGGGTGTCCTAATCCGAGAAGAATGAACTCGTACCCCAGCCAAGAAGACAAGAGGTCAATGCCTAACCGATTTGGGTCCAGAGGCTCTTCTTGTTTGGGCCCGGTCCCGCTGGGTCCCCAGGGTCCCAAGGGTCCCACGTAGGTCTCAACCAGGTCCCAACCAAGAGGAGTTCCACCTGAACTTAGTTCAGTCTCTACTGCACTGAAAAACGAAATTTCAACTTCTGGCAGAACCTACAGACTACAACCGTTCAGAGATGAAAAGACAAAGCATTGTAGAAAGATTCGGCATGTAGGTCAAGATACTTCATTTTCCATCCATCAGGTGAGTAGGTAGATCACACGCATTCAGTCACACAATCAAGACCACAGAGGAGTAGGAAAAGAAACCCAGAGTACCCCAGCAGGACAATCAATACCATACACATATACATGGGCATCCCGTAGGTGCACGGCACTTACCTGAGTGGCCTTGAGCTTCGAGATGAATAAAACTCACCCCCCTTCTCATGTGGTCCTCCTGACCCCTCTAACGTTACCCCTACACTAGTGTCCTGTCTCCTAGGAGGGTCTGACTCCAACACCCAAGTGCAACGCCGGATCCCCCGTCGATGTTGAAGATCAAAATAGCAACTTGCAGTCCGTTGATGCAGAATGGTCGCCGGCCCTCAAGCTCGCCTACTTGAGGGCAGCCCTTAAGTTGCCAAGTGTCTCCCTTGAATCAGATTCCAGGTGCGAGTGCCTCTCATTGTCACCTCTCTCAAATCGCCTCATGAAGTCTCCTCGAAATGTCTCGCCACCCTAATCTCACTCTCAGCAACCTGGTTAGGTTCTATGTTGACCCCACATGACCTAACCAGGTGGGGCAGCTTCCCTTAGCCACCCGGCCCCACTTCCCTCAACCAACCAACCCTAACCCTAAGTGTTGCCCTCAACTACTTAGGTTAGGTTTAGGGCAGCAAAGTCAACTCTCACCAGCAAGTAGAATCCGCTCTGATACCAATGTTATGACCCTGCCCAATTTCGAGATACACATCCATGAGAAGGTACAATGTCATTCAATTGCAGAAAGAAATGAATGAACTTGAGATGAGAGAGAGGATTAGAAGAAGAAGAAGAAGAAGTAAGAAAGAAGAAGAAGAAGATGTACACCAGCAAAGACAATGACAAGGCTCTTCTTCTTCGCCCAACAATCTCCTCCTCCTTATCTCCCCCTTCTCTTATTCATACAAGAAATAATAATACAATGTTGAATGACTGGTCCAAAGTCAATGTCTGAGTCCCTCTTCTACTGCAGGTATCACGCAAGGTCCACCATAGCCATGGCCGCCTCTCCCACTCTTCACTCTCATAGGCCGAGGCTATGGCGGACTACTAAGCCTTGCCCAGATGTCCAAAGGACAACCCAAAGCAGCTATGGCTGCTCCAACTCAGACCGCCATGCCCAGCCCTGCCTTGAAGCTTCTTGGTGTGGCTCTCCCCGACTGGGGACGCCTTGCTGCAGCGCCCACCAAGGTGATGAAGATGGCTGCCACCATATCCAGGTAAGTACCCCTGGCACTCCTCCCCCTTCCTTCCTCCTTCCTCCTTCCTCCTTCTTCCTCCCTCAAGACCTCCTTCCTCCCCAGCAGCGCTGCTCCAGCTTAGCGTTGCTCCAGCCAGCGCTCCACCACTGTGTCGCCAAACTTGCACACCGAAAAAGAGGCCGGCTCTTCCGCCCAGCCTGAAGATATAGCGGCCTGCTTTGCCTCTCGGGCGGTGACTTCCAGGCCGCTGGCCTTCCCAAGCAACCGGTACCTCCTCCTTTTTGGAGGGAAACATCATTGCAGACTCTAATATTGCCCCTATAGGCCCTAGACTCAGACTGGTACCCGCTAGACCTAGCCTACACTACCGGCCTCTAAAAATGCCACTTTTGTCTTCTTCTGCTCGGCCTCAGGTACCTGCATATTTACCCCCCTGTCGGGTGCGGTACCGGCCTACCCACAACTTGAGTGTTTTTTCCCCGCTGCAACCCTTTGAAGCCACGGCCACAGGTAAGTACCGTCTCTGAGGGCCCAACGAACGAACAAGTGCCCTGGCGGGCCACACACACACACTYATACCAACCAGCACTCAGACAGGCACAGTCACACACATGCAAGCCAACCAGCGCTCAGACAGACATGCAGTCCAGCAAGCACACACACACAGACTTAGCAAGCGGGGAACTCAGTAGGGCATTCAGTCTATGAGCAAAACTCCGAAATCAGCTGTGTGTTTCAGTCCGTGTTTGGACGGGTTATCACAATCATCTGGATAAACTACTACAAACTTATCTAACCAAGGTCTAAACAGATCATTCATACAACGCTGAAAGATGGTTGGCACGTTGGTTAGTCCAAAGGGCATCACTATGAACTCATAATGCCCATATCTAGTCCGGAACGCAGTCTTGTACTAGTCATCAGGATGGACCTCTATCTGATGATATCCGAATTTCAAATATATCTTAGAGAAATACTTACAACCCTGCACCCGATCTAGAAGATCGTCTATCCTGGGCAACGGTTCAGCATTCTTTACAGTAATCGCATTCAAACCCCTATAGTCTATACACATATGAAGCTCTCCTTCCTTCTTGAGGACAAACAAGACTGGTGCTCCCAAAGGAGATGAACTGGGCCTGATCCAACCTTTTTCGAGGAGCTCGTCTAATTGCTTGCGTAGCTCCTCTAACTCTTTAGGGGACATCCTGTAGACTGCTCCCTTAGGAGTCCTACTGCTAGGCTCTATCTCTATCATGTGTTGGATGGGTCGCGACACTACTCCTGTCGGCGACTCAGTCAAATCTTTGAATTCCTCCAGCAGCTTGGCAATGGTTGGGTCTGTGGAACTATCTCCTTCCTTAGCCTCAATGACAGGCCTCACATACACTACGAAGACCTGATCCTCTAACTGCTCCTTTTTCACTAGTCGCGCGAACGCGGGAGCACTAAGACAACAATGTGCCAAGGTATTATCTACACCAGACACATGGAACAAGCGGGCAGTCTTAGCCTCGCCTGACGGACTAGGGAGCCTACACTCATGCTCTCTCAAGTGGAGTGTGACCCCTGCTGCCTCTCCCCAATCCATTCCTAACACTATGTCGAAAGGAAGGTCATCCTGAACGAGGAAAGTAAGGGAATGGAGAACTTTTTCCACCTTCCCATCTTTCTCTAGGCGAAAGTACGCCTGGACTCCCTCTACGTAATTTTCAACTTGCATCGTGCGGTTGTCTTCGAGGACACTGACTATGGGGTCTACTAACTTTTGGACTTTTGATCCTAGCCTCAGCTTCTTCAGCGCCCTATGGCTAATGTAACCGCAGGTGGCCCCTGAGTCTATAAGGGCCCCTACTCTACTTCTAAACACTTCTAAATCTACCAAGATCAGTTGTCCCTTACTCTCCTTCTTCATTTTGGCCCAGGCCGGCATCCTCTCCTTCAGCTCTTCTGCCACACCTGTGAGGGACGTGCCTAGAGAGACGCTAACACAAGCAGTCTCAGGACAGCTAGCTAGGCACGGGCCTGCAACCTCTGCCATAGGCTCATGTGGTTTGGGAGTTTCCTGTGTGCGCGCGCTCGCTTCCCCACATGGCCTTGAAGTAGGGGCAATTGCGACCCCTACTGGCGGCTGCCTTTTGACTGTTGGGCAGCCCATCAGGCTTGTCTATACTTAGGACAAAATTTAATTACATGGGCCGGGTCACCACAGAATACGCACTGACCCAAGTCCACGCGTTCCTGCCATATGCGTTGGTCCAAGCCCAAATCTTCCCAAGGCCTGCCTTGTGGCAAGCCTGGGTGCCATCCTCCTGTCTGTTGAGGTGGCCTTCCTCCTCGTCGTTGTGGGGACCGCCAAGAACCCTGACGATTTGGCGGGGGACCTTGACCCCTACCTCCCACTTGGCGGTTCCCTTGTCCGCCAACCCCCTGTGCGCCCGGTCCTCGGCCTCCCATGGCCTGGCCCCTTTGGCCCTGGCCTCCTCCTCTACCTTGCGACCTCCCTCCAGCCGCGACAACCGCATAAGATCTCCCCTGCCCTATGCTGCTGTCATCCTCCTCTAACCCCCACTCAATCTCACTGTAGGGGATCTCATCTGTACCACCCTCTTCTAACGTGAGGATCATATGATCCTTGGCCCTCACTTGGCCAGAGATGGTACGACCCTTCCACTTCTTTCCTTTGTCCAGGTCCTTGTGCCAGAAAGTGGACACTGGCATGGACTTTGACTCATACAGGACCACTTCTCTACTCAGCACATCATAGGTGATGTCGGCCTGTTGAGACTTCTCAAAGAAATGCCCACGCAGGGGCTCGGGCATGGCACAATAAAACAATTGGACCAACTGGGGCTCAGTGACCCCGTGGTCTGGGACGGCTACCAAGTCGTCCATAACGCCCTTGAGTGCTCTTGCACCTCCTCCACTACCGCGAGTGGATCATCTGTAACTTATCAGAGGCTCTAACGCCTCTCGTTGGGTCAGCAAATCTCTCCCTCAGGACTTTGAAGAATGGAGGAAGGGTGATGATCTTAGAATATGCAACCATGTTGTTTTCACAACTGGCTGCGCGCGCAAGAGATCTGGCAAAACTGGCCGCTTCATCCTTAAGGGCCTGGAAGGCGACGAGGACTTGCTCCTCAGTCAGGATGTGTTGTAAGTATACGTAACTATTCACACTAGCCTCCCAGTTATCAAAATTTTCTTCCTTCTTCCCTCCATACGCATCTGGGAATTTAAGCTTAACAGGCTCCTTACGAGGTTTGGCCTCACCCTCTACAGCGGCTATTGCTTTGGCACCTTCGATGGCGCCCTGGCAAAACTTCCCCATGTTGTCTCTCAGTCGCCTAACTTCACCTCCAACATGGGTGACCATATCGCGTGCGAAATCTCTAAATCCTGACCGCATGATACTCAGGGCCACATCCTGACCCCTATTGGCTTGGCGCTCCTCCATCTAGGCCGCACTCAACACTTCCAGATAACCCAAAACCTTATCCATCTTGGCAGAAATGTCTGGCTGCGCCCACTCCTCTTATCTACAATCTCTCATTTTTGCCACCTCCTCGGTCAGCCTATTAACTTCGTCCCTCCTCCTCTTCTTTTCCCTCTTCATCTTCAGTTTCCACTCCAACTTCTTCTCGTCTTCTCTTTCTCGCCGTTCCAGAGGGTCCTCCATTGTTGTTAGCTCACTGGCTAACGCATCCCTCTCGTCCTGGGGCACATAAAACTCTGCCTCCTCATCTTCTCCCAACGATAAATTAGCAATCCACTCACTGATTTTCTTCTCCATTGCGGCGTCCTCATTCGCCGTGCCACTACTCTCTCCTTTTACTTCCCTGCGTTTCCTTTCCTCTTCTGCTACCGCTTCTTCAACAGCCTTCTTCTTTTTCTCCATCTCCTCCTCCAGTTCCTTCATCTTCGCCACCTGTTCCTATGCGATTGCCTTTAGCTTCGCCTGTTTCAGGAGCTCTTTCCTCTTCTTATTCTCTCTTACTAAGGCGGCCATCTTAGTGCTCTTCCCTGTACGGGTCTCAACCATGGTGTCAAGTGCACAATCGGATTAACGGTTCCAAACCTCACCACGTAGACTCTAACCCCTGACTGACAAACCTACTGACTCAATCTAAGACCTCACAGAATCCGGAGAGGGATCCTGCCTACTAGGGTCTCTAGCCTAGACCTAACTATGCTTGTCACTACTAGACCTGTTGTTGATAAGGAGGCATTTAAGGAGATCCCCTGTAACTCCTCAGGAATTATTTAACATTGCAAACAGGACGACGTGATCAGCAGGTCTCTCAACACTTAGACTGCCTGCTGCGCACTGCTGCGCAGCCCACAACTCAGCCTTTCGGGCCTACCGTGCCACACCGAGCAGCCCGCCGGTCTGTACCGGTCCTTGGGAGGGTTCGTATCCTCCGGGACAATCGAGTCGTCAGACACAGTCTTTAGCCCTACTTGGTCCGGCAGGGGTTTGGTCAACAAGGCCTATCCTTCATCCACAGAGTACTATCACCTAGACAGAAGAGACTCGATGCCGAAAGAAGAGACAGACAAACTGGACTCAACAAGTACCACAGGGTGTATGCACATCCATAAGGCGAGGGATAGGCTGAAGTCTTGGCGAGATTTTATCGGCTCCAGCTTGGTCAAAGTCTTGGTCAACGCTCGGTCAACGCTCGGTCAATGCTCGGTCAACGCTTGGTCAGCGGTCCGGTCAACCCCGGTCAACTCTTCTAGTCGGCTATGGCTGCCGGCTTCACTTTCCCTTACCAACCTCCCTCTTCTCTTCACCTTCCTCGCCTCCTTTCACCCCGGCTGTCTTCTTCTTCTCTCTTTTTTTTTTTTTTTTTTTTTTGTTCGTCTCTCCTTCCTCCTCCTCGGTTATGGCTTCCCTCTCTTGCCTCGGTCTCTCCCTCTATCTGGTCTCTCTCACTCCTTCGTTACTCCGTGGTCAAGCTCCGCGGCTATGGCCGCAATCTTCTTCTTCGCGGGACCGCGCGGCACACTTCACAGGTCAGTGACAACCAAACTTGTATCGCTCATCTCTCTCTCTCTCTCTCTCTCTCTCTCTCTCTCTCTCTCTCTCTCTCTCTCTCTC